ACGTCTCTGGAATACAAGAGTCATTTTCTATGGAAAGAAGTAACAATATCGATACTGTATCGAGAACATCGAATCTCCACGGTAACGACAAACAAAGCAACGTCTCCATGGTTATAACAGAAGGTTCATTTGCCTAGCAGTGGCGAGGGTATAAATAGGCCAGCTTCGATGAGAAGCCTTCAGTCTCGGATTAGACAGCCAAGAAGCAAGACGGATCACCCTTCGGAGAATAGCGTCTCGGATCGCCCGTCTAAGAAGTCAGTTCGGAATATCCGTCTGGGTCCAGCATCGCCGGAATATTGTGAGCAGTGATTGTAACACTGCAAGTGCAAATGATTGTAATGTGTGTAAAGCGTGAGCGAACGAAATAAATTCGCTATATCAGACGACGGCGTCAACTTATTTGTAGCGTGACACACGAAACACGCTACAATATATATATATATTATATTCTGATGATAAGGACAGGAATCATTCCTGGGCTCAGTACTTCTGCTTGTGCAATGTGAAAATAAGTGGCCATATCTAGTGTATACATACATAACACAGAGCGGTAGCTACTTCTTTTGAGTACAAATCTAAATTACTTTCCGCCCCATCAATTGTACAGTTCACAAACATTATTAAAACAATGCAACTAACTGTCAATGCAGCAAACTCCTCCAACAATCTCAATAATAATAATGTCGTCTATTGGGTATCAAAAATATTTAACTGCAAATGTATGTATAGATGAATCCTATATAGGCCCATGGTTTGCGTCACTCGCCGACACTGGTGTAACAATGCTGTAACAGTTTAGTAGTTTCATCTTTTGTCTCCATCTGACCCCAAACCCTACTGTACAACAGCAAAATGACGACAGCCAAAACAACAGACATTAATAGTAATCACATAGTAACATCACTTTTATTTACATCTAAACTGACTCCAGCAAGACAAGGTTGTTTCAGAATTAAATTAGCATGGAAAAGAATAAACCATTTCTAATGACTGTCTATATAAATTCTGCCTGCTTGCAATAAAATCTTATACTTCATAAACAGAAAACTAAAGAGCAATGATGTTACTTTTGGACCTTATATTCTGAAACCTTTACTCGTGAAGTCAAACGTCCAGATGAAAATCCCTGATCCTTCTTATTGTATGGCATACTTCCCTAAGCCCCTACACATACTACAGGATGATTCTAAATTACTGTTGGTGTTTCTGTGGCCAGTAGACATGGAGGTGAAGGCAGTTATGAACAGCCTTCCAAACAGTCATTTGTGGTATACCTAACTGCAAAGAAGCTTGTCTAGTTGATTTTTGTGAGCTTTTGAGAAAACACTTCCTGGATTTGATCAACATCTTCCTGTGTAGTGCTCAGACTTCCTGCTCCTTTTCGGTGCAGAACACTACCGGTCTCTTCAAACTGCTTTAACTATCAGACAGCATTACTTCAAAGTGGATCTTTTCCATACTGAGTTCTGTCAATGGCACTGCATTTTGATAACAAACTTTGTTTCAAAAATACAAAGTACACACATTTCTCTAGAACAGTTTTCATTTGGAGGTATGACATCATACAGTATTTTCTCCCAGACATCAATGCAGTGAGTACAGCGCTGCCAAATAAATTACACTTTCATACAGAGATATTGGGTTTTCGGACTTCATCCATCGTCCTGGTTTTAAGATAACTGTTGGGTCTGGACAGCAACTGAGGCTAGCGCTTTCTAAGGGGCCCAATAGAATAGGTGTTTTCTCTCACCTGAGGGCAGAAACAGATCCAGTTTCCGAAACGTCGTGTTTTTCTTAGTTATCTTAAAACCAGGACGATGGATAAAGACTGAAAACCCAATATCTCTGTCTGTTATAAACCATCATCAGAATCCTATAGTAATTACTTATGTTTCATAATTTGTAATCAGTTTTATTTTGTTTCCGGTTTGAAAATTAGAGGCCATGGAAACGCCGACAATAATTTAGAATCACACTGTAGATCTTGGAACGATTTATTATTATCGCTATACTGTTTCAGAAACAAAATATTATCCATCTATGGTTAGCATTAATTATGAATTACTGGTATCATCTTGGACAGTGTACTTCAAAACACAAAATATCATATGTAGCAAAGCTGGAATAAAAAATTCTTATATATATATATATATATATTGTATGCATAAAAATGAAATAAGAGCAAGTATGTATCTTGCATCGCATACTTATACCAGCAGTGAACTATGAATTCTATTTGTTCAATACTGATTCACACAAGAAGTGAATCAATGCATCATGTGGAATGAATGGCTCCAAATGAACCTTGAGATGTGACTTCAACCAGGAGTCCACTGAGTCCACGTGGTATGTAAGCCACTAACTGGTCTATTGTATCAGCCCCAGATGACAGATAAGTATGAAGCACTTTGTTGGAATGAGAACTGGCAGGGGAAACAGAAGTACTTGCAGGAAACCTGCACCAATGCCACTTTGTCCACCACCAGACCCACATGGCTTGACCTGGGACTGAACCCTGGCTGCTGTGACGGCACAGCCCTAATGCTGTCAGTAACTCAGGGGCACACAGAATCAAACGAGTGGATGACGGCAAATAACAAATTGCAAAGGATGTCAAAGGAAGTGCTTGTGGTCTAGTGTAAGTTATTATCCTGGAATTTGTGAGAGACTGAAGAATACTTGAAAAATCTCAGGGCAGTCGGTGTCCCAGCCAATATTTCAACAAAATATCACTTGAATATAAGTCACAAGTGTTAATGCTTGAGTCAACTTGCCTAGTTCCTACTGTTCTTCTGACTGATGATTATAAACATATCTGTAGAGACAAATACTAAATTTAAATATCCAAGAATCATTAGAAATGGGTTATACTAGAACAGGATTGCCAGATTGAATTTCAAATTGCATTCTACTGCAATGAGAATAAATAACATAAGATTCCAAGATTATAAAGAAGGTAGCAGAACTGCTCACATGCTGCATGAAACATAATACTAACCCTATGAATGAAATTATATATAATAGATCTCTGGCAGTCCTCTGAAATGGTCCCAGTTTTCTGACTTCTGACTGGTTATTCACCAGAAATATTCCATCCCGAACTGCATGTAGGTGTAGTGAGAGCTGAACAGACGGATGTCCAAACGAAATACTGCAGCTGTGACAGATGTACACTGACATGAACAAGTGCTCAGTGAAATCTCCTTTTCTTGAAATCTGAAATTACAGGAAAGAATAAATGTTTAATGCTCTAGATACATAGAAATTAAAGCATAAAGTATGCCATTACAGGACTGAATGTTAAGGTTACAGTCTTCTAGTGTGTGATACTGTTTGTTTGTTAGGTATTCATGTCTGTATCATACTATGTGGCATCACATTCCAGACGACCAGAAACCTTAAGGCAGAAAGCATTAGCACTGTGCAATAACTTGTCGAAATACTGTCATGTGTTAAGTGATTGGTAACTGGATTTGTTGGAGTCTTACAAATTGTAACTAAATTTAATTACAGCATTATCACTAATTCAAACTTTACAATCCTCTATGACATACTAAGTCTTCTATGTCTTCACTACTGCTTGCCAGGTAATGGATCCAAACACTGTCCTTTACTTCCATTGCTGCTGGCTGGTGATTCCTTCACACCTCATCCTCTCTCGTTCTTGACTGCCGAGCAACAACCGGCTAACTTTTCCTGATGGGCGTCACTATATAGCCTTCGGGTGGATCCAGTAGAAAACACATTTCCAACAATTCCTCTATTTCTGTATTCATGCTCAGTGCCATGGAAACCAGGTGTCACATGCATTTTACTGGCTGTTACCACACAACGGATAATTGTGAATGTTTCATAGGACTACACTTCAAATATTAGAGGCGCAAAACGCCAGCACAGCAGTCTCCACAAACAGTTTTAAAACACCTGATGATCACCAATGACGGTCGACACATGTAGTGTACAAAATGTGAGTATAAATAGTAACTTTTAAACAAATTTTTAAAGGAGTGTTGCAGGTAAGATGGAATATCAGTGATATTTGTTAATTAATACACAATGTGCAACACGATGCCACAACATTACCTTCTCCTACCTCTATTATTCTGGCTCTCTTAAGTGTCATGTCACAATATACAATAAGAGATGGGGCAGCCTTTTGAGATGAGGTTTTTAGGTTGGCAATTATGCAAATTACTGTCTTGTGGGATGCAAAGCCATTTATTTTTATTTTTATTTTTATTGCTAGTGGGGTGGGACTAAGTCCCTTGTACTGCGGCCAGTTCTGGCCTATTGTACCAGCCCCAGATGATAGGTAAGGGTGATTGTGGAGCAATTGGTGGAATGAAGATTGGCAAGGGCAACCAAAGTACTTGGAGAAAACCATAAATCCCACTTGACCAGCCCGGGATTGAACCCGGGCCGCTGCGATGGGAAGCCAGCAATTAACTGCTTGAGCTATGGCGCAGCCTCCTTGTGGGATGCAAAGTCATTTGGTTAGGTACATATAAACCAGATTACATGATGCTATATCCCACATAACAGTAATTTTCAGCACTGGAATCTGACTCCCTGATCTTTCAATTTCAATGAAGATGCCAAGGTATAAGGTATACATGACTCAGGTCATTTAAAAAGAGCATATTCTACAGATGGGGTCTAATAAAATGATACCAAAACACGCCTCTGATAAACCCTTCATGATCAGAATTCCCAATAGAAGTGAATGGAAAGACGGGTTTCAACCCGATAGAGAGGGGGGACTAATCTGGTATACAGATGGCTCCAAGGCAAATAAAGGCATTGGAACTGGAGTGTATTGTGATGGAACATGGCAGAAACGTACTCACAGCCTTGGTCAGAACACAACAGTATTCCAGGCAGAAGTGTATGCCATTAAGGCAAGCACAGTTGAGAATTTAGATAGAAACTATAAAAATAGGAACTCCTTTCATATTTTTATTGTAGTCCAGAAGTGAAACAGATTACTTTTCTTTCTTCCTCCCATTTTATTTTCACCTTTCTTGTTTCATCACTATGATACGCCAAGATGATGACATTTTTTTTGCCACGCCATTTCTGCAGACACTCAGCTAGCATGCTGCGCGACAATTTCCCTTTCCCTCAGTTTCTTCTCTTTCACTATTTCTGGTATGTCTTTTCCTTTACAATATTATATTTCAGCATCCTGTTACACTCACACAATATATATGGACAAATACCGTCTTAAGTGCAACAATTTTATTGTAGTTTTTACTTCTTTTTCCTCCTCCACACTACATGTTTCGGCCCTAAATGGCCATCATCAGGTGTGTATCACTCACGTAACTGTTACACTGCTTGTTAAAAATGTAAAAATCCCAGTCTTTCTAATTGTATAAAATCTTTGTTAATCTACACGCGTCGATTTGATTTTTAAATTAGCACTTTTTAAACCTTAATTCAA